TTACTTCGACTGCGGTTCACTCTTCGTCGGCTACACCCTCAGTCTCTACCGATAAGTCTGGCGACAAGTCCAGCACAATTTCTTCAGTTCACACCGACTCTACCTCTGCCTCCGACAAGCACGAGTCCAGCACAGTTTCTTCCGTCTACCCCTCCGACTCTTCTTCAGCCTCAGACAAGCACGATGACCACTCCAGCACCGTTTCTTCTGTTTACCCAGATGTCACGTCCTCTGCTTCAGATGAGCACGAGTCTTCCTACCCCACCGGCTCTTCATCGAGCTCTGTACCAACAAAGCCCAGTCAAACTAGCTCGGTTTACGCCGATGACTACCCCACCGCGAGATCCTCATCTGCGGAGTACTCCGTAGCATCCTCAACTGGTGACTACAAGACCTCCTCGACAGCCGATTACCCCGTCGCGTCGTCGACCGCTGACTACCCTGCTTCCTCGCCCACTCCCGACTACCCTACTACCTTCGCTTCTTCGGTCAAGCCTGCCACCTCTACCCCTTGCACCACCTCGTCGACCCCGACCCCGACCCCCACTCAGCCCGTTTCCGAGGACGGCAAGTGCGGTGGCGAGAACGGCCAGACCTGCGCTGGCTACAAGAACAGCTTTGGCCTCAAGCTCGAGTGCTGCTGCAAGACATCTGGCCGTTGCTCTGCCGACCCTTGGGCCTGCACAGCCGGTTGCGACAAGAAGAACGGAAAGTGCTGGTACTAGGCGCCAGTAGTATGATGGTTGAGGTTTAGGTGTATTGGGTGGGATATGATATACACTGCTTCTTTTCTCTGGCACATGGTTGTTTGATATGGTGGATTGTTGTATAGTAGTTGGATTGATAACACTTGTGGTAATGTTGATAGAGGAGACATCACATGATAAAACGTATACGATGACGACCTTACTATCTTTCCCTATTTCATCTTGCTTCCTGCTATGTGCTACGAGCGATACCCACTTCGTGAGGCATGTCAATGAGGAGATATTGTAACTTCAATATCTCCCATGTGAGACGTGTGGCATACGTGTCGTAGTTAGGTTCACTATGTAAGCGATGAAGCACCTACGCGTGTCCGCTGCTCACCAGCTTGCTTGTACCTGTACTGTTGCGCCTGGTTTCATATGCAAATCTCGATGCGGTCGATCGACATTCTATCAACATGGCATCAATCGTCTTCATCTGAAGAAGCGTAGCCGAGGCCGAGCGAAAGCGCAGCCGGAGCTTTGACTGGAGGCGACGGGGCTGGATTCGTGCTTGTTGTAGCAGTTGACGTTCCTGTGGTGGCTTTTGGCGCACCGCCCGTCGCCTTTTCCTTTTCAGCAGCCGTATCGACACTTTTCTTCTCTTCAGCCGCCGAGCTAGACTTCCGTAGCTTGACGCCCTTCAGAAGGCTCAACTCAGGGCCCTTCTTGCGTTTCCGCCCTGGCGCTGTCCATTGCACCTGGTCTTCTTTCGGCGCCTCGGTATTGTCCTCCAATGCCTTCCTCTCAGCCTCCTCTTGCTGCCTACGGAACAGCTCCAATTGCTCGCGGGTTTCCTTCTTAACATTGGCTTCTTCTTTGCGCTTGGCCTCAAGGATACCTTCAAGGTAGTCGGCTTCGTCGTCGTCGAGTGTGACGTGTAGTTTATAGCGTGCGGCTTGTTCGAATGCTTCTTGTTTGGCGTCTTAAGCGTCAACCTGGCATGTTAGTTGAGGTAGTCGACCTAAATTTGTAGTACTTTGTATCACCTTTGTTCGCTTGCAGCACCTCGTAGAGACTTTTGCCCTCGTTCTGCTTCCCTATTTCTTCCTTTTCTCTTCTCTTCTCTTCAATCTCGCGCTGAGCCTGTCTCCACTCGTCATCTCGCTCGATTGGCGCATCTGCAGTGCCCCCAGGGACGAAACCGGAGGACATGTCGTGCAATTGGGTGGGGTGGTTTGGTAATTGTTGGGTGAAGGTGCAAGTTGCCCAAACAATGTACCTCGGCGCTCGAGCTCGAGCTTGATGTGACTAAGCCCCACCTCCCAACTTACTTCACTCTTCGGTACTTGCACGCTTGAATCTTGAAGTCATCTTATGACGAATCGCTCCCGCTGCTTGTGTGGCTCAAGTCAAAGAAGCCCCCTCGTTTTATCGATGCTATACGACAGCAACCATTTCGTGTGCTTGGAGTCTGCGAACAAAACTCGTTACGAAGTCCTGGGAACCTTACTCGAATTCATACGGCAGAGTCGAAGAATGCAAGTCCGAACAGGTGCGTCACGCATCTGAAGGCAACTTCTGGTGGGGTGAACTGCCGGAATCCCACACGACAGGAGGAAACGATGCCTTTCTCGGCTTATTGTTCTCCAGTTATCCTCCACAATTGAGGCTGATAACGGTGGGCCCATGCAATCCCAGCGGCCCACCGCGGGCTAATTGAAAGACCATTGGTGGAAGCCCACGCCATATGAACACCCGGTGGGAAATGTCGCGTCCTCCTCGGTGCGTTGACCGAAAGTGCAATTGACGTCAGGTGGGCTGTTTTGTTGAAATAACAACATTGCCCACATCGCCCCTCTTGCTTTCGAAAGTGTTCTACTCCTCACATACCTCAATTCCCAATTACATGCTCCGTACGCTTGCAAGAATGGCACCCAAGAACTGGACCAAGGAGCACTTCACGCTCAACACCGGCGCTAAGATTCCCGCTGTCGGTCTTGGAACATGGCAATCGAAGCCTGGTGAGGTTCGCGAGGCCGTCAAGGTCGCTCTCCAGTCTGGCTACCGTCACATCGACACTGCTCTTGCCTACGGCAACGAGAAGGAGGTTGGTGAGGGTATCAAGGACTCTGGTGTCCCTCGCGAGGAGATCTGGGTCACCACCAAGTTGGACAACCCATGGCACAAGCGCGTCGAAGAGGGCATCAACAGTTCGCTGAAGAGCCTCGGCCTCGATTACGTTGACCTGTACCTCATGGTGAGTTGACATCTCAAGCAAGTGCATCACTCCATGTTGACCATTCTTAGCACTGGCCATCATCTACCGATCCCGATGACCTGAGCAAGCACTACCCCGACTGGGACTTCCGCGACACCTGGGCTGAGCTCCAGAAGCTTCCTGCCTCTGGTCGCGTCAAGAACATTGGCGTCTCCAACTTCGCCATCAAAAACCTTGAGAAGCTGTTCGCCGACTCGAGGTTCAAGATCACACCCGCAGTCAACCAGGTCGAGCTTCACCCCAACAACCCTTCGTAAGTTCAGCCTTTGTGTTTTGTTAGGCTCATACTTACGATGGGGCAGACCCAAGCTCCTCAACTACCTCAAGGAGAAGGGCATCCACGCCACCGCGTACTCATGTCTCGGTTCCACCGACTCGCCTCTCTACAAGAACGATGAGCTCAAGAAGCTCGCCGAGAAGAAGGGCAAGACCGTCCAGCAGGTTCTCCTTGTCTGGGGTCTGCAGCGTGGTTCTAGCGTCATCCCCAAATCGGTCTCTGCTCAGCGCATCCAGGCCAACCTTGAGCTTGATGGCTGGGAGCTGACTGACGATGAGGTCAAGGTCATTGACTCGCTGCCTGAGCGCTTCAAGGTCTGCGGTGACTCCTGGCTGCCCGTCAAGGTCTTCTTCGGCGATGACGAGTAAAGACATGGTTTTATGATGTTATGATACCACAGAAGTACATTTGAATAGACAAACTGAATACCCGTATCTTTGACCTAGCGAGCGTATACTTGCCTTGTGCAAGAGTTGATTTGTGAGAGGGTTATATTACAGACAGTAATGCTGAATTGCACCAGGTCGAGCCTCTGACCCAAAGTGCTTGAAGAACATGGCTTCAGCCTGGTTGTAAATGGAAGGGTGTTGTTGCCTGGACTTGAATGAAGAAAAAAGGAAGATTTGTCAGGGGCACGTGATAACGCGTTTGCGCTAAACCGAGTGGCAATAGAAGACGCGACTCCACTCGCGTTTCTGCATCCTCGACTTTACTTCACACTCCACTGCGCAACCACAACTTCTTGCAACTACACTTACGGTCAACATGAGTACCGAAGAGCAACAGTTCGACGATGACAGCCAGATGGGAGGGCCCGGTGCTCCCACACCCGTCTCCGCGCTCGAGGTACGCTTTTCTCAAGCCGAAGTTATGCATGGGAGCTAACAATTGCAAAGGGTATAAATGGCCTGACCGCGCGCGACATCAAGCTTGTCGTCGAAGGTGGCTACAATACTGTCGAGGCAATTGCATACACGTAGGTCGATATGCATAGCACAAAGTGACCCCGCGGCTGACATGACGTAGTCCTCGGCGAGCGTTGGAGCAGATCAAGGGTATCTCAGAACAGAAAGCGTCGAAGTTGCTAGCTGAGGCATCCAAACTTGTCCCCATGGGTTTCACAACGGCGACCGAGATGCACCAACGGCGGAGTGAGCTCATCTCAATTACAACCGGATCGAAGCAGCTAGACACGCTGCTGGCTGGTGGCATCGAGACCGGCTCCATCACAGAGATCTTCGGCGAGTTCAGAACAGGAAAGAGCCAGATCTGCCACACACTGGCGGTGACATGCCAGCTACCTTTCGACATGGGTGGTGGCGAAGGCAAATGCCTCTATATCGATACCGAAGGCACTTTCCGTCCTGTTCGTTGTCTGGCAGTGGCTAATCGATTCGGTCTGTCTGGCGAAGAGGTCTTGGACAACGTGGCATATGCGCGAGCCTACAACTCAGATCACCAGCTCGAGCTGCTCAACCAGGCTGCGCAAATGATGACCGAGACGCGGTTTTCTTTGCTCATTGTCGACTCAGCAACGTCGCTGTACCGAACAGATTTTTCTGGACGTGGAGAGCTTTCAAGCCGACAGACACATCTGGCAAAGTTCATGCGAACGCTACAGCGCCTTGCTGACGAGTTTGGCATCGCCGTCATCATCACAAACCAGGTCGTCGCGCAAGTAGACGGTGGACCGAGTGCCATGTTCAACCCCGATCCCAAGAAGCCCATTGGAGGAAACATCATCGCCCACGCAAGTACAACACGTCTCAGCTTGAGGAAGGGAAGGGGAGAGACGCGAGTGTGCAAGATCTACGACAGCCCGTGCTTGCCCGAGAGCGACTGCCTGTTCGCAATCAACGAGGATGGTATTGGTGACCCCAAGGAGAAGGACCTCGAGGAGAGGAACAACAGGTGATCGACACTATCATCGGGCTTGCGCAAGCGGTTATCATATTACCTTTTCCTTGTGCGTAGCTATGCATTGCGCGGCGTTTCTATTGATTCAGCGAGCAGTGATGATACACATGCCCTTACGTATTCGAAGCATAATGTTTTTGACTGTCAGTGGGTAGTCCGCATCCCGCGTGATATTGGTATTGAGTTGTGAGTCCAAAGTAATGGCACTTTGTGAAAGCAAAGCTAGCGTCCTGTCTGTGCGCAAGCTGCGATGCCGCGCATCTTTTGTTTGCTTGAAGCTGCACCTCCGCGTTCACCGCAGCCCCACCGCGCACAACCTGGACCGCTCGCGCGCATTGCCAATAAAACCTTCGTATGCGAGCAGGATGGTCAAGAACGGAGGCGCTTGTCTCTATAAAGAGGCGCGGCTAAACATTGAGCCTGCCTTCCCTGGGTCGACCATCTCATTCACACTCCCGGCGCACACCACCTCGACCTTTGGCACGCGCACCACAGCGAAGCGCACCGTAATCACAGAACAGTGTGCCGACCAGGACGAAGAATCGTTTACGCGCCGCAACCTAGCTACGGATGGCTCCCTGTTCTTCCGACGACACCATGAATACCCGCGGACATTTCTTTGGCGCGTCTTGGACAACAGGAAGATTCTTGAGATACAGGCCGCCGACCTAGATCACGACTCCAGCCATGGCTTCGAGGCCAACCTCACTCTTTTGCTCAAGTTTCCTTCGCCGATTCGCCCATTCTGTATAGCATTCGCAGAACCTAACGACCGAGATGCGCTGACCGTCTTCGCAATTACCACCGCAAATGAGCTCTACACCATCACTCTTCACCGCGACTTCTTTACAAGCCCGGCAGCTTCGGAGCAGGAGATCGAGAACTGGTGCAAGACGTCAGAACCGGTGCTTTTCGGCGGGCGCATTCCGTACAGGCTCGAGAGCCTAGCCATGGACGATCTCCTTGTTTCGCTCGACGATGGCGCCATCTGCCGCCTGCTATGGGATAGGGACAACAAAGTGTGGGACGGGTCGCGGTACCAGAACAGCAACTGGTCTGTCCGCGGTCTTCTGTCGTGGAAGGCGCAGCCGACCGTCAGGTTCGACAATGCAGAATTCGCTGCCTCCGCAGCTGCAGCTGTCGCGCTGTCTCCAGACAAGCAGCACATCTTGTCAGTCTCTCTGGACCATACACTACGAGCATGGAATGTAGCCTCAGGTAAACCAGGTGCGCAGACCGATCTGCTGGGCCAGTCAGACCGCGCCTTGGAAAGGGTCAACGGCAACGGCAACGGCAACGGCAATAGCTCTTACTTCATCGGACCGTCGCAATCGAAGCTTATGGCTGTTCTGGATATCCAGGGCGGTGTCGAGGGCGCCAACTACCATATTGTCACATACTCGCCAAAACAACACCAGTTCAGGTTTTGGGGTGTGCGAGATGGCGATGATCTGCACAACGGCATTGTCGATATCCAACCACTTGTTGAATTTGTGCCTCCGATCGACGAGCTCATGAACACAACCGTGTGGTCTATGGAAGAGTTCCATGTCATACCTGGCCCAGCCGGAACATGGAGGGGAGCAGAGCTGTGGATTCGCGCAAGATCTGGACCGAGCAGCAGAGTCTACTCGTTGAAGTTCGACCTCAACGATGAACCCGACAGCCTGGAGAGGATCTGGAAGCATGAATGGGTCTCAGTCGATGCAGGGCCACTGACAGTGGAAGGACTGAAACGTAGTCCCACCTTTCCTGATCAGCAAGACACCGCTAACGACGATGTCGACGCATCTGGGCAGTGGCTTGACTTCTTGTTCTACCCTGGGCGATTCACCACAGCCACATTGGAGACCGCTCTGAACATCTTTGCTAGGGGCATCGGCAGGAAGCGGCCAAGCAGAGCAGTCAGCACAGGGTCTCTGAAGGAGCGTATCTGTGCAGCAGTATCACTACTTGCAGTCAAGGCACCACATGGTGCTCGCGATGCAGATGACTTCGAAGACTCGGTTTCTGCGCAATGGCAGGCATTTTATGGCTTGGTAAAGGATCTACACAAGCGAAGAGGGGAGTCCCTCTCACTTGTGTACGATGCAGAGACATCTATGCCCTGGCTGGTATTGAGCGATTACGTTTCAGCAATCCGTACTTGCAGCGAGCTTGAGCTTACGACACTGAATGCAGCGGCGCTTACCAGCACGCAGCCTCTATCCGGACCCCTCGCCAGGGCCCTGGACAAATCGACACCCGATGTGGCTCGCCTCCTGAATGCAGCCTCCTCATTCCGAAGGAGGCTTCCTTCATTTGTACAGCGCGGTGTCGAACGCCAACTCGAAGCCGATGCGCTCCAAAGTCGTTCTCTTACAGTCATCGATCGCATGGAGTTGATAGAATCACAGAGTGAGCTTGTACAGCATGTGTCAGACGAGGATCTGGCGCTTATTGTCGACGAGCTTGGAACTGAGATCAAAGACCTCAGCACAGAAACATTCCTACAAGCCATCCACATCTTGGCCTACGAAGAGCAAGGCCGACCCAACAGCCGAAAGCAGCTCGCACGCTTCGGTCTCAATGCACTGCTCCGAGTCTCGCAGGAAACACTCGAGCGAGACTATCACGCAGTACTAGACTTACTGGTGCTTTTGCTGGTCATGTTCGTTGAGCTCGAAGGGGAAACCCCAGAAGGCTTTGATGCATCTGAGGTCTTTGTAGAGCTGGCAGCGCAGTTTAGAGATTACATGACAGTGTCATGGCTGGCCCGGACAGTTTGGTCTCACCAGACTTCCACGGGACCTGCGTCGGAGGCGGTGAACCGAACGCTGAGCGAGAACCTGAAGACTGGCAGAAAGCTCCCCATTACACAGACCGTGATGGAGGGCATCTATGGCATCCGGTTCTTCGATTTGCCTCTGCCAAAGGGTCTGAAGGCCCGCCAGCTCACCTACTGGGGTCGCGCTTGGGTGGCGTCGATGTTCAGAGAGGAATCTATGTATGACTCTGTCGTCGAGGACAACATGGGCATTCTACTCTATCAGAAAGAATACGATCTAGCCCTGGATTTTGCGAAGTTTCTCACCGACGGTAACTGGGCTACATACCTGAAGGCTCGGCTGCACGTCGCTCTGGGCGAGAACTCACTCGCCTCTGTCTACTTTCAGAAGGTGGCATACACTCTTGGTAAGATTTCAGAGCGCGACCTGTTCAGACCAGTACTAACGATATCAGCATTGGGCATGTTCAGCGTCGAAGACGCCGATTCTGCTGGTCTCGTCTCCGAGACTGACCGCAACCTGTTCTCCGAAGGTCTTGCCAGATACTACAGCCATGTCGTGGGCCTGTTCGAGAAGGTCAAGGCCTACTCATACGTAGCCGAGTTTGCACAACTTGGTCTTCGATCATTGACAGGCCGAGAGGATCAGGAAACGAAGACCGAGCTTCTTCAACGTCTGTTCACTGCCTCAATACAGACAGCTAGGTTCCAGGAAGCGTACACGGCGATGACCCGGCACAGTGACGCAGCCCTGTAAGTAAAGAAGGTCCAAGATGCATCATAGTGTACTGACTCCTGGCACAGAAAGCACTCGTCTCTCCAAACCCTGATTACCTCCATGGTCGGACAATCGCAAGCTGCCGCTCTCCTCAAATTTCCGTTCGTCGGCCTGGCAGACGAGGTAGACACGATTCTATCATCGCTGTGCCACAAGACGCTGAACTTGGCATCCGGACCTCCATACCACCAGATCCTCTACTCTTTCCGTATCTCGCGCAACAACTTCCGCGGCGCGGCCTCGATTCTACACGAACGACTGCAACGCCTGAAGACCACCTCATCCAAGTTCCAAGACCCTGCGGACGACTCGTTGATACAGTGTTATCTCATGATCATCAACACGCTCTCATCGGTCAACAAGGAAGACGCATACATCCTAGCGGAGCAAAAGATTGATGAGAGGGGTCCGCCACAGTGGGGTCTTGGGAAGGCAAAGAAGCTGCTGAAGAGGCAGATCGTCACGCTTGATACACTGAGGAAGGAGTACCAAGCCGAGCTTGACCGGATAGCGGCGATTGAGAGCGGACAGTTTCCCTTTGTAGATCCGGCGGATGACATGGACATTCTATGATTGTAAGACATATTGCAGCGCGGCGTTCTGGGACCAAAGATAGGCATAGCAGGTTGGAAGTCAAACAAAGCAATTGGCAAATCTTGAATGATAAGAAGCATACCAAAAACGCTGTACCCTCGAGTTCAACATGCTTGAACGATTTTTGAAGCATGGTAGTGGACACGGTACACGTGAAATGATCTCGGGAGAGTGACCGTGAGCCCTGCCCGTTCCCGCGTCAACGCTAGAGTTAGCGCGATGTGGGGCGTCGCGAACGCGCCTGGTGAAAGCGGCAGCATTAATGACGGCTGCGACAAGCTGTTGCTGCGAGCCCAAACAACCTCACCCTTCCTACCTACACCTGGGCACGCACGTGCTCTCTGCTCATGACCGAAAGAAGTCGCACACAACAATGGCAAGCTTCTCTCACGACAGCGCGTTGCTATCACGCTTCGGTTACTTGCAGCGTATGCTTCAGCTGCTAATGCTGCTCAGAACTCCAAGTCGCTCAGGCGCCTTGCAGGTGACCATGGTTCCCTACACACAGCCGGCCTGCCACCGAATTACCTATTCCCTCCCAACTCGGATTCCTCCGCCGACCTAACTTCCCTCGACGTCCTGCTCTCTGGTCCCACCGGCACACCCTACATGAACGGCGTTTGGCGGTTACACCTCGACATACCACCTACATATCCCACAGCTGCCCCAACAGCCTTCTTCCGGACAAGATGCTGGCATCCGAACGTGGACGAAGCAACAGGCGCCGTCTGTGTAGAGACGCTCAAGCGCGACTGGAGCAGCACGCTCAAGTTACGAGACGTGCTTGTGACGATATCATGTTTGCTCATACAGCCGAATCCTGCGAGTGCGCTCAACGAAGAGGCAGGCAAGCTTGCGAATGAGGACTGGGCTGGATTCTGCAGGCGAGCAAAGCTCATGACTGAGATCCATGCTGCCGTGCCGAGCAACCTCGCGAAGGAGGTCAGGGAAGCACAGATGCGCGGCGAGGAGAAGGAGGCAGAACCCGCACAGAACGAGCGGAATCCTGAGGTTCGTGGGAAAGGAAAGGAGCGTATCAAGGTCACACCTCCAGCATCCTCGAAACCGCAACGTGCCCCGCTTGTTGAAGACGAAGAAAACACACGGCGCCAGGGACGCACGGCGGAACCAGAGAGCGACGAGAGCGACTGGATACCTGGCCCAAATAGTTCAGCTAGGAAAGCTCCTGGGCCAAAACAAGAAAACAACATCTTTGGCATCCGCGGTCTGGACCCTAGCGTATCTCTCGAAGACGCATCAAAGCGGGGTCTCCCCGTAGACTCGCAAACCGGTGGACTTGTGGCTCCAGAGCTCGAAAACACCGACCCTTTCACAACCGTGACAGCGAAACGCACACCACATCCACAGACATCCTTTGTCATACCTATATCGCCCAACCTCACGACGTCACAACAGAACCCCACCGATACGCCCGAGCTCCCTGAGTCCTCCCACCAGAACCCCTTTTCCGCCATTCAACCAAATCATCAGCAACATCTACTGCTCAAAGAGTTCTCGTACTCATGGAGGGACTCAGAGATCTTACACGAAACTGGTCTGATCAAAGACAGTGATAGTCGAGATAGTGTGAGGAAAAGGCTAGCAGGTGAAGACTTCGAGAAGAAGCGGTCGTGGGAGATGAAGCATTTTAAGAAAGCTGGATGCGACGTGAAGCGATACAATCGTGGGGACTTTGGGCCACGGACAGGAATTGGGCGACTTTGAATAGCTCCAGGCATCAACTTTGGCGTTTTGGTTCTGCACGCATAGCGACACCGGAGTTCTGGGTTCTGCTTTGGGTCTGGATGATGTTGATGACAACGGCTGTGCAGGGGCAGAACACTCAAAAGTGGATGTCTCTCCTGTTGATGCCTTCAGCACGTCTACACATTCTCTGTGACACCTGCAGAAGTACTGTAGTCTTCTGACACTATTGAATTGCAAGCTAGCGTTGAGCACCTCCTATCATCTCAATGATTCAGGCTTGTAACCGACTTGTTCTGAGAGGCTGTGCAAATGTCGTGCTCTTTTAAAGTGTGGCTCCCCCTCAATCAGGACTACAACTCATCAAACCTTGTGCCGAATGTATACAAGTGAGACAGGCAAGGCCAGCAGAATGGGGTGAGCGGCACGGCATCATCCGCTTCAGGGCACCACATGAAGAGTTGTGGCTGATGCTTGCGTCGCTTCTTCCCGGTTCACAGCAACAGGGGCTGACGAGCACATGGAGTGGTTGACAGGCTGTATGATGTGGCTTGTCGAACCCTTGCACGCTTACGGTGGGGAGATGCAGTGAATATTGACACGCCCGTGTAAGACGACAATATATGCCGGCACGTCATGAGCACCACTCGTTCAACACCATCAACGAGCGATCTCGTAAAGAAGCAGAATTTCGTCGTCCAATACCAGCGGTATGGTGCCAAGATGAGGTCGCTGGTGATAGTCGGGGCGGAAAAGAACCTGCTCATCATGTCAACAAACGTTTACTTTGGCGTTCTGTCCGTCGTGCCTGGCGGCGACGTTGGGGGCTATTTTAGCATCGCTCTGCAGCAAATTACCGGAAGGCTGTGGCTGGTGACTGCCCCTGCATCTTGCTCTTCTCCTGTCATCCGCCTTGCCTTCCTCCGCCTTCCGCCCAGACCCGTGTCTGAACTCGAGATGTTCTGGAGATCGAACACGACTCAAATACGGTTGTGACAAACGGCACGCTCTCCGGTGTCTCTGGGGCGGAAACACCCACCCATCGACCTTGGCGATACGCCGAAGATCCGTCAAAGCCACCGTGAGGCTCGTGTCTTTCATGCTAGGTCCCCTAAAACGGCTAACTCAGGAGATCATTCTCGCATGAGCGGTCCAGATGCGCTGTGGCTGGGTCTTTATTGGGAGACCTGGAGAGAACACGAAACGCGCTGCATCTTTTGCACAGCAGCGCTATTGAATAGCATGCGCGCATCGAGCCTGGCTTCCGTGTTAAGCGGCTGACTGCAGCGAAAGGCTCGTATATGAGCTTACTGATCCCTCGGAGCGTATCTTGGTGTTGGGCTATTCTGTCATCAAAGTCCTTCTTGAGTGGTTTTCTGGATCGTATGGTCTGTTGCAGGTGACATTCGCTTTGTTCATTCTTACGGACTTTTGATACTCTCATTCATATCTTTATTGTCTAATAATCCCTTGTTGTTCCGAGCGTGTCTGCAATATCAGCACAACCATGCCTTCCTTTACTCGACTGAGCGCCTCGCTCTTGCCCCTCACTGCTTTTGCTCTCGCAACAAGCCCATACACCTCGTCAAGAAACGAGACACCAAAGGACAACAACGCAGACTGCAACTGCTATGTTGTCTCAACCGGTGCCGACTCGAACACACCAGAGTACTTCCAGTACTACCGCTTCTACGACTTCCGCAACCTGCCGGGCGGCCTTTCTGAGGCACCAGGGCAGGTGAACGATAGCATGGGGTTGGAGCCGACATGGCAACCCGATCTGTTCAATAGCGACGACTGGAACTACGACTGGGCCACACAGAACTGGAGCAAGCCGGCTACAGAGGATTTCCCCGTGCCAATGTCGAATTCATACGCGAACATCTACCTCGCCGAAGAGAACGACAGCAGCTACCTCGCCCTCCGCACATCGCGCGAATCCGACTTTCAGTCAGCCAGCGAGATGGAGAACCACCAGAAGAATCTAATGCACGTATCAATGCGAATGTACGGGCGCGTAGTAGGCGACAAGGGTGCTGTAGCCGGATTCTTCACCTTCGTCGACGACGACAACGAGTCAGATATTGAGATCCTGACCCGCGACCCCATCGACACAATTCGCTACACCAACCAGCCCTCTGTCGGCAAGGACGGCAACGAAGTCGCGCAGGCTTCAGTCGCAGGCACTGACCTGCCCAGCTGGGAGGACTGGCAGACGCACCGCATCGACTGGCTGCCGAAGAACAGCTACTGGTACCTCAACGGCAAGCAGGTCGCAGCAAACACATACTCTGTGCCCCGGAAGCAGAGCTACATGGTGCTCAACATGTGGAGTGATGGCGGAGAGTGGAGTGGAAACATGACCGAGGACCACTCGGCGGAGTTCCATGTCCAGTGGATTGAGATGACTTTCAACACCAGCGGATCGTACCAGGGCAAGAATGAGAAGAGGGCCAGCAAGGGGTGCGAGACTGTTTGCAAGATTGACGGTGTCAAGCAGATCGGTACACCGGAGGTTGTTAGTGTCAACAAGAGCGCTGCCGCCGCTATGGGTGTGTCGTGGGGGCTGCTGGCGGTGGTTGGTGCTGTTTCTATGTTTGTTGGGTTGTAGCGGTCTTTTGGATACCAGTCATCAACTATGCATAGCGCATAGCGATTTCTTCGTCAGCCCGAAAAATTGCCTGGCATGCTATGAGTCCCAACCTTCGATTCATCGTGACACGCGCTATCATGTGAGACCGTGGGGCACCTAATCCCGTGTTCGCCCAAGCTCCAGCTATTGTCCCTCCAGCTCCGCCTCCATCCACACCTCCGCCTCTTTGAACAGTTGTTCGGAGGCTCTCAACCAAACAATAACAACAACAACAACAACAACAACAACAACAACAACAACAACATGACCACCACCACCACCATCGAAGCAGAAACACTCAAGCAGTACTTGGCCGACAGCCCGCCCACCGTTGTTCCTCTCGCGATCAGGCCCCACTTCGAGGCGCTGACCGACAAGGAGAAGCTCTATGCTCACCACATCTCACTGTAAGACACTTGGAGATTTCAAAATGCTGTATCCTCACGTCAGGATAGAGCCTGCTTCGCCGGTACTCGCATCGTCCTCCGCCAGCTCTCGCCCGAATCCGAGCCCATCTACGACTTCATTGTTGCCTTGCACAAGCACAGCAAGGGCGACTACGACGCACTTGCCAAGGAAGCCGGTCTCGTGCAGGAGGAGCTCGAAGCCTATCTGAACTATGCCGCACAGTTTCTCGGGAACCTTGGCAACTACAAGTCGTTCGGCGACTCCAAGTTCGTCCCGCGGCTCGAGCCCAGGCAGCTAAAGGCACTGGCGACTACGTCAAAGGAGGCGCTGGGTTTCTATGAACAGTTCAAGGATGCGATATTCGCGGGTGACGATGTGGCGAAGCTACACTTAGGGTACCCGAGCGCCGGGCATGTGTCGACGTACTATCCCGGCTCGCCGACCATCACAAAGGAGGAGATTGCAAGCGTGAGCGACTTCCTGGAGAGCAAGGGGCTTCTGCCGGAGAACACCAGGATCAGGAAGACAAACGAAGGATTCGAGGTTTTGATCGCTTCGGCTTTGGACAATCCGTCGTCTGAGCAGAGAGACTTGAAGGACAGCGAATGGACGCTGGATGATGGGAAGAAGGCCAAGCTGGTGTTCGGAGACTACTCGAACGAGATGGAGACAATTGCGCACCACATCGAGCAGGCCAAGAAGTATGCTGCGAACGATAACGAGGTCAAGATGATGGAGCAGTACTCGAAGAGCTTCAGGACGGGCTCACTGGAGGCGTTCAAGGAAAGCCAAAGGGCGTGGATCATGGACAAGGGGCCGACGGTGGAGTCGGACATTGGCTTCATCGAGACATACCGCGACCCGCACGGCATTCGCGGTGAGTGGGAAGGGTTCGTGGCTATGGTCAACAAGGAGCGGACGAAAGCCTTCTCCAAACTTGTCGAGTCTGCTCCCCAATACATCCCCAAGCTTCCCTGGGGCAAGGAGTTTGAGAAAGACAAGTTCTTGAGCCCGGACTTCACATCGCTCGAGGTGCTTACATTCGCCGGTAGTGGGTGAGTCGCAGTAACACTACAGCTTTACGCGTCCTTACTGATACCATACAGTATCCCCGCAGGAATCAACATCCCCAACTACGATGACATCCGACAAAACTTCGGCTTCAAGAACGTCTCCCTCGGCAACGTGCTCAGCGCAAAAGCCCCCAACGAGAGGCTCCCCTTCATCAAAGACGACCAACAAGCTCTCTACAAAGCAAACGCCGACAAAGCCTTTGAAGTCCAAGTCGGCCTCCACGAGCTCCTCGGCCACGGCTGCGGCAAGCTGCTCCAAGAAACCGCTCCGGGCGAGTTCAACTTTGACCACGAAAACCCGCCCATCTCCCCCGTCACCCACACCCCGATCCGCACCTGGTACAAGCCGGGCCAAACCTGGGGCTCAGTCTTCGGCACCATCGCCGCCAGCTACGAAGAATGCCGTGCTGAATGCGTCGCCATGGCACTGTCTTGCGAGTTCTCGATCCTACAACTCTTCGGCTTCGGCGACGGGAACGTCGACATCAACGGCCCCGCGGGCGACGTCTTGTACACCGCGTATCTGTCGATGGCGCGCGCGGGCATCGTCGCGCTCGAGTTCTGGGACCCGAAGAGCCGGAAATGGGGCCAGGCGCACATGCAGGCGCGCTTCAGCATCCTGCGCACCTTCCTCAACGCAGGCGTCGAGTTCTGCGAGCTCGAGTGGACAGAAGACGATCTGTCTGATCTCACGATCCGGCTTGAGCGCGATCGCATCCTCGATCTCGGTCGCACGGCGGTTAATGACTATCTACAGAAACTGCACATCTTCAAGAGCACGGCGGACTACAAGCAGGCCAAGAAGCTGTACGATGATATCACGGACGTGGAGCCGTTTTATGAGAATCTGGTCCGCCCGGCGGTGCTGAGGAAGAAGGTGCCGCGCAAGGTGTTTGTGCAGGCGAATACGGTGGAGAAGGAGGGGAAGGTCGAGTTGAGGGAGTACGAGGCCGATGCGAAGGGAATGATCGCTAGCTACGCCGAGAGGGAGTATGTCTAGACATAGACAAGGCACGAGCTCCTCTTTGGTTCCGAGGAGCGTGATGAGATATATGGCAACAATGAACGCAACGAACAATCACGAGCATTTACAACATGGACAACTGAATCATCAACGTATTCGTTTCGTATCGTACAGTCGAGCTACCTAAAACGCATCACTATACAGGCGCTGTCATGCAATAGCTCTCGTCAATCATTCCATTCCGTCTCGTCCTGGGTATTCGTCTCTTCACATCGTAGAAATGCCATGATCATGCTTGTCACATCCGAATCGCTATATCGCACCGCGTCCACCATGACTCCGCTACAAGAAGTACTCTCCTCTTCCACCGCGTCCAGCCGGTACTGCACGGCGATGATCGGGTACGGCACTGAAGATCTGGAACTCTTGCTTGAGGTCTTCGCCGAGGTTCATGATGGAAGCGACGTTGCCGCAGCGGTAGCAGTAGTTGGGTGCCGACCATACAGTGACGACGTCCTTGTCTTTGAAGTGGTACTAGAACACGTTAGCGTCTAGAGGCAAGTTTCTGATGACGTAACAAGGTATGCTCACTTTGTAACCCTCATTGACAAGCTGGTGCGCTCGTGCGATAAGCTGCAGGCCATTGACGTGGTTGAACTCGGACGACACTTTGTCTCCAAACAGCCACCCCGCGCCTCTGGGCGACACCGCCCATGTGTCGACGTCTTCGGGATCACTCCAGACCAGGTCACAGAAAGCGCCCTCGTGCGGGATCTCTTGGGCGCGCGCTACAACGCGAATCTGGTCCAATGTGCGAATCTCGGGCGAGAGACCTCCGTGGACGCAGAGGACCTTGCCGTCAACGATGGCTGCGAGGGCGAGGAAGTCGAAGACCTGGCAACACGCCTTCCACACCGACGCGTTTCCGTACTTTGTCTGGCACTCCTCGTAGAAGCCGTACACCTGGGTGATCTGTCTCGATTCGTGGTTTCCGCGCACTAATGTCACTCGGTCGGGGAATCTAGGTTTGTTAGCCGTGTCGTCCGCACCTCATTCACATACCTACTTTGCCTTCAAGCACATCAACAGAGTAAACGTCTCCAGACTGAAGTATCCACGGTCGACAAAGTCACCGAGGAAGACAAAGTTCTGCTGGCCGTTGCCCACCACTGTGTTGCGTGTCGAGCCGGCGTCTGAGATGGATCCCGTACTCCGCCTATCATGGACACTCCTACTGCGGCCCCGCGTTTCCTCCTCTTCGTCGTCTCCGTCGACGTCCTCGCCGTCGCCGCCGGGGGGACTGGCTGGCCCAATATAGTTTGGATCGCGCTGGAATCTCCGTTTCATCTTGCGCTTGACCTTGGGATCTGTTATACTTGTGGGGGGCTCAAGATCGGCGGGGTTAATTTTGCTGGGCAGAGTGACTGGAGGCGCTTCTGGAGCTTGCGGGGTGTCGTTGGGCATGCCCCCAGCGACACGGAAGAGCTCAAGGAGATCGTAGAACTGGCCGTGAATGTCTCCGCACACTGTGACTGGTGTTCGGACGGGCTGAATGTTCGACTCTGGGGGGGCACATCAGACGGAAGCTCTACAGAGTGCAGACAGGTAAACTCCTACCCTCCATAAGACACTCCTTCACGATCTCACACAGCCGCTTCATGTCGGCCTCGGGCAGGTACTTGCACTGCTTTGCCTGCTCCAACCACTCGTCGGGCCCAGCACCTTTGGCGAGGCGCGCTGGCCCGGGCTGGGGGACGTCGCTGTCTTTGGGCATGGTTTTGGGATAATATATGTCGTTGATGACGGGGAGACCAAGACGGGGAAAGCGTGGCAGCGCAGATGGAGGTGTGGCTGCGGCAGAAGGGAAGCCGGTCGTGTGACGGCGGGGGACTCGAGGCGTGACGTAGCGGCGCTGTGCGATGCTAGAGGCGGGCGAGGGTGTCGGTGAAGGTCTACGGAATGGACAGACGCATGAATCACTGCAGTACCAGCTTCTAGGAGGCGCAGACAGGCATGTTGGGAGCGTTCACGGGCCCAGAAGCATGCAGCAGAGGTGCCCTGTGGCGCAACAGCCCCTCGGCGCTAGCCCTGCCGACGATGCGCCCGACATGGGGAAGGCGCGACCGCACTCTTTCCTGTGCGCGTCTGCACGCTGCGTCATTGCCTGTTTGTATTGCTGGTTGGATTGGAGCAGCAGTCGCATTGCTATCTGCTTGCCTTTGAGCCTTGGGGGAATCAGTTGCTTCCCATGTCCATACCTAGAAATTGCTGTTCCCCTCTCCACCCTCCCTCACCTCAACACCGCGGGACCCTCCCTCGACAAGCTTGACCGGACCCAGTTTCAGTCACGAGAGCTGCTGGGCCCTTGTGCTAAGTACTGAACTGTCTGGAGTCTTACAACTACTTGTGACTGACGAATCCCTAGCCACTGCTCTCCACAACCGAGCTATACCGTCCCACCGGGTACCTCGTGCCCCCCCCCCCCCCGAAACACGACCCCTCCCATGGCCCCTCAGGCGGGCGTCAACGGCGTGCTGCCTGTCGCAGTCCTGCAGAGAAATGCACCTGCTCAGGCCGCCCGCGGCCCCAAGGCTGCCCAGCCGCGCCTGAAGCTCGTCTTGCGCCGCCTGCCCCCAGGCTTGACGAAGGCGGAGTTCGAGAGCGCAGTTGGTGACGATTGGAAGGTCGGTGCCGGCAAGGTCGACTGGTTCAACTACAGAAAGGGAAAGGTCTCGAAGGAGTATGTTGCGTGCACTGTCTAGCCATTTCCAGTCTGACATGTCCACAGCGCAGCCAAGCCTTCGAAACCCTCTCGAGCATACTTCCACGTTATCAAGCAGGATTTCGTCACCCAGCTCGGAGACCACGTCCGCGCTCTCACCTTCCACGACGCCGCAAAGTCATGGCAGGATCCTGCGCTTGTCGGCCCACCTGCACTCGAGTTCGCACCGTACCCGAAGATGCCCGGTGGCCGTCGTAGGAACGACAACCGCCAGGGCACCATCGACCAGGACCAGGACTTCAAGGACTTCCTCGAAAGCCTGACCAACCCAATCAGTAAGCCTGCTGCCCCTGACGGCGAACCGGCGAAGGAGACCAAGGGAAAGACGACGCCACTGATCGAGGCGCTCCGTGAGAAGAAGGCGAACAAAGAGAAGCCGAACAGCAAGGGGCGCGCTGGACGTGGAGAGAAGGATGCCACCGCGGAGAAGAAGATGCTCGCCAAGCCGGGCAAGGAGAACGCACCCCACGCAGGGGACAAGAGTCGCAGATCAGGCAAGGCTGACAAGGCCCTGATGACCAAAGAAGCCGTCAAGATATTGAACAAGGAGGCATCGACCTCGAAGCACGCGAACACTACCGCAGACAAGGCCTCGGCCAGCCCTGCCCCAGAGCGCAAGCGCGGCAACGTCGCCCTCGCAAAGTCCATGCTCCAGCGCGATCTTGGGGTAGGACCTGGGCCTGCTCCCAACCGTCGTCGTGGAACGAAGCGCGAGGTTGCCGGCGGCGATGCGACAGCCCAAGCAAAGGATGCGCCTGCTGCAGAGCAGAAGCCCAAGGACACACCTGCTGCTCAGAACGCCGCATCGCCAGCTGACAAGGCCGCTCAAGCATCGCAGAAGAAGGAGCGCCCAACCCGCGCCGAACGTAGAGCGTTCAAGGCTTCTTTGGCGGACACCACGAACGGCAAAGCTGCACCGGGCGATGCAAAGCCTCAGGCGCAGGGCAAGGCACCAGCAACACCAGCTCCCCAGATCTTGAAGAAGCCGCAGCCTGCGCAGACACCGACGGTCCCCAAGGGCCCGGCGGCATCACGCGCTCCGCCAACCGAGCCCGCCGCGCCAAGATTGACTCCTGGGCCGGCGAAGGTGCAAACTCCAGCACCTCCAGCCACGCCGGCAGCTCCTCCTGCCAGGTCCACTCCCTCTCGACCGGTGCCCGACGCCACGAGCAAGCAGGCCTTCCTCAAGCACGCCAACCCATCACAGGGCATCACCGAGCCGTTGATCGAAGAGGCCCTGAAGGTGTTTGGCGGACTCGAGAAGGTCGAGATTGACAAGCGCAAGGGATTTGCGTACGTCGACTTTTCAGAGCCAGAGGGTCTGCAGAAAGCCATGGCTGCTAGCCCTATCAAGATTGCTCAGGGCGCTGTTCAAGTTCTCGAACGCAAGGCGCCAGTTGCCAGAGGTTCTCGCTTCAATGCACCACCCCAGGGACCCCCTCATGGAACGCCAACTGGACCAGCCCGTGGCGGCCGCGGAGGGTTTGCACCTCGAGGACGTGGACGTGGAGGCGCACGCGGAGGAGCCAACGCTGCCGCTGCCGCTGCCGCTGCTCCTGCTCCTGCTCCTGCTCCTGCTCCTGCTCCAGTCTCTGGTTCTGCCGCACCTGCTGCTCCAGCTGCCGCCCCTTCAGCCCCTGCGCCCGCCGCTGGCACTGCTACATGAGCCACCAAAAGGCATATTTCGTCAAGCCTGCTTACACGCTCGCTACAGCAGGCTACGAGTCTGATCAGTCGAAGATATGGTCCAGATAGCGCTTGAAGATTCGAGCAATAGTCCTAAGACCAATCGATACTACGGTACCAGCACGTGGATCCGTCGGCCCAACTTCGTACCAGCGGCATTTGTATCCGTTATGGTAGTATCTTCACTGCGACATCCGTTGAAAGAAAGGTCCACAAGACATGTTGGAGCACGGCTCTTCGATAAAGGCATGATGAGCAAGGGGCATGATAGCTGAGTACAGTCAGGGAGATCATTCCACGGATTCAAAGACGTGGTGATTCAGCTCGAAGCAGCTTATGTAGTCAGGATTAGCCGATATAGTAAGACGGAAGAAAGGCAAGAACATAAGCATCAATTGCTACCTTGCAACGCGTACATCCAGACCCACTCCATCAGAAGCCTACTCCTTACCCCAGGTTACCTCTGTGCTCGGCGTACCCAGCTCAATCGTTGAGCCAGGTTTACTGATGACCAGATCGCGCTTTCCCCAAGTGATCTCCGTCGATGGCTCGCCCAGTTCAATCGTTGAACCTGGCTTGACATCTATGAGGTCGCGCTTACCCCAGGTAATCTCCGTACTCGGCTTGCCCAACTCAATCGTATCCTCAGGCTTGCTCGGTTCGAAGATCAAGTCCCTCTTTCCCCAGGTAATCTCCGTACTCGGCTTGCCCAACTCAATCGTATCCTCGGGCTTGCTCGGTTCGAAGATCAAGTCCCTCTTTCCCCAGGTGATCTCGGTGCTCGGCTTGCCGAGTTCGATTGTGGTGCCGGGTTTGGTGTCGATGAGCTGGGCCTGTCTGGATTGAACACAACGTTTTCGAGAATCGGCGAAGGGGACTTAAGTACCTCTGGCTCAGCGATAGGCAGAGCGTTCGTCAGAGCCGTCAAGGCAGTGACTGCGAAGATGGCGTAGCGCATTGTGTGTGTGTTGGGGGGTCTGATCTGGTAACTGTGGAAGGATGGATGCTGGAATGTGGGGAGGAGATCGACACTGGTCATATACCTCGTGGGTCGACAGGGGAGTATGGGTAAACCGTAACCGTAACTTGTGCTGGCCGGGACATGTCGCCCCAGGGCTATCACTGGTCGACACATCACCTCGACTACGGAGAGCAATACCAATCGCCTGGATGCTGTGGGCATATGCCTGCCATAATTGTGGCCTAGATCAAGAAGAACAGCCTACTTCGGACACATATTATATGGTTTGCAACGACTAGTCTCAGCAATGTCGAGCTGACCTCAGTTGTAGTACGGATTTTTCCCATGTACTACAGGCGGTGCCACGACGCAAGTGGAAGGTGTTCACATGGCAGACATGGAGAAGCGAGGATTATATATTTATACTTCGTATAGTACGGCTAAATGTACATTGTCTTGGCCTGACAAGGTTCATCCAACCTCCGACCTCACAACTCTGTACACACTTACATACTCTACAGGCGGAGTTCTAGACGCTCTCGTGTGCCCCCATTATACACGCAAAGGTATATCCAACCAGACCCGATGCAACCAAAACGTCAATCTAATGCTTCAATTTATGCAGTGCGACGAGCATGGTATGTGTGGATCGCTCAGGACTCTGGATCTTTCGGCTTCTCTCCAAACTCGGCCTCAAGCCATGTTTCCCAGACTTCTTTTGATGCTGTGGGATTTGGTTCATCTTTAACCGGCTTACTCGTGGTCGCTGCCAGCCAATCGTGAGCATCCGGGTCTTTGGGCCGCTCTCCAAACTCGGCTTCGACCCACGATGCCCACGTCTTATTGAGATCGGTTGGCCGCTGCTCTGAGACTTCCGTAGGGATACTGTCCTCCCAGTCGCTGAGGTTGTCCACCGGCATGTCGCTATCTCCTTCAACGACCGGTGCACCATACATCAGGTCGTCGATGCTGAACTCTGGAGTTGCGCCAGGTTCCGGTTCTTTCAAGTCCTTGACGAAGCTGGAAACTGCGATGAGCAGATTGTCTGCAGCCCAAGCCGGTGCCAGATTTGCCTTCTTGGCTTGCGCCCATTGTGTCGTTCTCAACGCGTTACTGATGATGTTCTGTCGGTCAAAGCCTCTGTTCGCGACCTCTTTGAGGACCTGATTGAAGGCGCTTGTGTTGCCAGTCACTGAACACAGACTGAGCATGAACTCATATGCCTTGGCCATGTCTTTTGGCATGGCCATGTCTTTGATGCTGTTGATCTCGTCCCAGACATACACACCACCCTGCCAGTCGGCTCGGCGGATGCAGTCGCCTAGCAGTCGTGTAAGACCGGCCATGTCGAGACCCCAGCCGTCGGCTTTCATCTCGTAGTAGACTTCGAGAGCGCGATCGAAGCCGCCAAACTTCACCACACCACCTATCAAAGCACCGAATACCATTGGTGTTGGGTACACCTTCTGGTAGATCTTCTTCTCGTTTATGGGCATGAGACGACCCTGACTTGCTTCATTAATGGTGACGTCCGGGTCTGCGAGCATCAGCGCATCGCCAACACCACGCATCCATGCGACGAACCGAGAGAAGCCGTCAGGACGTCGTTCAGATATGTAGTGGCCTAGGATGTAGCGGAGGGTAATCTCGTTGGGCCGTATTTTGGAGGCGTGAAAAGCGAGGATAACATCATCCACCATTTCAGGACGGCGCCATCGTTTAAAGCCGGCGATGAGTATGTTGAATGTCTGGACGTCTGGCGGAGCTGAGGACACAAAGAGGTTGTGACAAATCTTGGCGAGTGCGTCTGCAGCTATCCTGTCCTCTTTCCTGCCTCTCGTATCGTGGCGCAATAGTTCTTTGAGACCGCTGTTCAGCCGTTGTGTGGTCTCGTAGAAGTCGCCGTCGGGGTCTTGGTGATAGCGCGGAATTGCAGGTTGATCTGGATAGATCTGCGCTTCCAGAGCTTCGTCGCCGACGGCATCCCCAGGAACTAGGTGCAGTCGGACAATGTTCGCCAATATCTCTTTCCGCGCTTTCCACGCTTGTGTGTCGTCGAAAGCAGCGACCCTCTCGATCTGTGGCGACAGCCCTGATTGCGGTTGCCATGGGACACGGACGCGTCGCAGAAGTGAATATATAAGTACTGCAGTGCACAACTCTTGCATAGTAAGCTTCTTCCAGGTATGTCTTCTCCGCATCGCTGCCAACCGGACCATATCTGGAGCCCACAGTGACTGCGGTGGCAGATTGTATGGCTTCACTCGATGACCTGTGTTCGCCGGCCACTGAAGCTGCTGCATACCTGGGAACCTGGAATCCCAACGAAGCTCGTCCCATGTGCCATGCGGGTCATCGTAGGCCCGCGAGTGCATTCTGTGGAACAGCCTCTGATCGTCCGCGAGGTCCATGCCCGCGACCTGACTGAGGCGAGTCCAATCCAGGTCACGCGGCAGTCTCTCGAGCGGAATATGGTCGACAGACTCATGTTCAACGTTTGCCTGCCCTCTGGTCTTCAATGGGCGGGCTAAAGGGCGTTCCAGAGCCTCCTTCAGCGATTCAATGGCCTCCTCCCACAGGCGGCCACTCTGCCTTGCCTGCGCATCGATGGCGATCCCAGCGGCGGGGGTGGTTGTATGGACAATTGTTGACGTTCGATGACGGAGTGAGCTTCGTGAGCCATTGTGCACTGTCCGACTGCCGCAGACAATGCATCGGCAGGATCCCGGGTTCTGCGTTGCCCGGGACCAGAGAGCCAGCATTGCTACCGGAGCATGCTGCACTGAGTGCGGAGCGGCGGCGATGCGAATCGCGGGGCGTGGGGCGATTCGACGCACTTTGGGGGACGAGAAAGAGGGACAGGGGTCGCGGAGGATACAGTTATGCGGCAAGCAGCTTGAAGTATCCGATTAGGCGTTCGTGGATGCACAATGCGACTTTAATGTGATGCTCAAAGATTATCGTCTGATCGGGGTCTGCTCTCAGGAACGCCGACCACTTCAGTCTTGGCATTCGATGTTGCGGAGCGAGCAACAGCAGTATAATTTTCGGAGACAATGTACTTTGGTTCAGTAACTACGGTCAAATCTCCGGGATCAGTTATTGCAATCACAAACATTCTCGTTGAACAAGGGAAACCTCTCAACCCAGGGTTCGCAGCATCTCCTAACCAGCTACAGTAAGCTCGGCTGAATAAGCAGCCAATCTCCAAAATGTCACAAAAAAGTCCAAGCATATCAAAACAAATTTACCAGAATATTGGAACTGAAGAAGGAGACGTTGTAAAGTTGGATTTTCGTGAGAAGACCAAATCGTGAAATACCATACAGCAACGACATAACCCATCTGGCCAGCCACCCTCTCCTGCTCTTCCACTCCCCATCTGGACAACCATATCGACCTGAACACGTGCCTATACCTCAGCGACATCCACACAACATACGAAGCCGCCCAACATGCCTAAATTCCACGCCTCCTTGAACAACGACCATGTTGAGTTCATCAACGCCCAGCCTCTCTTCTACGTCGCCAGCGCGCCCTGGGCCGGAGACCACATCAACATCTCGCCCAAGGGACAGCCCTCACAAACCTTCTCCATCCTCGGCCCCAACACAGTCGCCTACCTTGACGCCACAGGTCACGGCTGCGAGACCATCTCACACGTTTACGAGAACGGGCGCATAACGCTGCTCTTCAGCTCTTCAGGCTTGAACGCCAAGACCCTGCGACTATTCGGCTTCGGTCGTGTAGTCGAGAAATGGGATCAACATTTCAATGAGTTGCGCGCGAAGATGGCGTCTGAGAACGGCGATTCAGTGGATATCACTGGTGCGCGTGCAATCATCGTCTTGAAAATCAAGAAAGTGCAAACTAGCTGCGGATTCAGCACGCTTCCTGGTGTTGAGGAAGGCGACGCAACAGCCTTTGCAGACCACGACGACGACAAGGACGGACGTGAGACGCTGGAGGCTTGGGCGGCGAAGAAAATTGAGCGAAAGGAGCTGATGGATTTCCAAAAGCTGAACAATGCTAAGAGCTTGGATGGGTTGCCAGGACTGAAGAATGCGAGGTTGGCGCAGGATCAGAATTTTGCGATCGAAGATACGAAAGCGTGGCTGAGGAAGGTCAGCAGGCAATGGGATACGGTGGCGTTCGGTGTTGGGTTGGGTTTTCTTATCATGATTGTGCTCAGTCTGGTGGGCTTCATCCACATCGAGCCGTCATTCCTCACACACATTCTGGAATTTCAAAAGAGACAGATGGGGGACTACCACGATGAGCTATGAGCTATAAGGAGTGTAGATTGGGTACGGTCTTTGGGAGGTATGGCATTTGCATGGCGTGGGAGGGGGTGATCTTATCAGTACTATCGAATTGTAATCTACAGAATCTTGTTACAACTGTGCTATGGCAGCTTGCTCCGTCGTAAAGCCTTGCATTATCTCCTAGTTGTAGCGCACGCTCCTTTGCTGCTCGATCGAGTCTTTTGCCCAGTAGATATTCGAGTTATACTTCAGCACTTCATTACCCCAAGACGTCCATCCAGCAACAAGATATCGGGCGAAGACCTCAAGCGCACTGTAATCAGTAGGTTCCGGCACATACGGCTCTAGCAACTCTTTCAGACACGGTTTCCGTGAATGTATATCCGGGACCGCGGCGATGACCCTTTTCCGAGGGCTTGACGCATGTGTCATTGTGGTCCACGCATTCGGTGCCGCTCGTCCCAGAAGTAGAACTTCATACGGCTTGCGCATGGTATCATCAATATCGAACATGGGATCTCCTTTGGTAGTCGTTTTGATCCAGATCCACTCCTCAATTAGCCCAACATTCCACGTCTCGAATAGACCGCCTGGACCAAGCACATGGTCTCGCAGAGCTGACTTGTTGGTGATCCAGATACCGACAAGAGCGTTGTGCTCGAGGTAGTTGTCAATGTCCATCTTCAACAACATCTTCTTCAAGTATGGCATGCCTCCAACCTGCTCATACGCCCCTTTACGCTTAGCTGATCGATTTGGCCATGGCGGATCTAGGAGGACCAGATCGAAGTGTCGGGGGAGATTGTGCTTATTCGTGACCTCGCGGAAAGCCGAACGAAAAGAGTCTGGATGGTCGCAGTCACCGAGGAAGAAAGCGGATAGCGGCGGAACCGTGAAGTTGTATGCTTGAGTCATTTGCTCTTTCTCGGCCCCGGCTCGAGCGATGGTCAGGTTCAGGGTCTGACTCTCTGCATTGTAGAACGCAGGCGACCAGTCTGCTGCAGTTCCATCCTGTAAATCTGCGTCTCTAGCTGCAAAACATGACATTATCCATCGCTGTGCGTTATCTCCGGCAATCGCTGGTTGAACCTCTGGTGCACCCAGAGAAGCCATCATCGTCTGGAAGTCGAACGAGTTGTCGTCGACTCTGCTCTCCCCGCCAGCAGCCCACTCTCGAAATTGATGCTCCAGCTCTCTTTCTACATCATTGGTTTCTGCTGCGTCCTTGCCATATTTTGGTAGATGGGGAAATATCTGCCTGGGAGCGCACCATGATCCAGGAACGTGAGCTTTGATGTCGAGCAGAGCTTGCTGAATCAATGACTTGTATACTTCATAACGCGCTGTGTCGGCCGAAGCAATCCCTGTGATCTTGCTTGCCTTGGGTTGGTATTCTTCCTTTGACTGGATTGGCTCTTCCAACGGTGAAGTGGACAGGAGTGTGCCAGTGCGGCCTTGAGCGGTGGCGATCGAAGTGGGTATATCGACAAGAGTGATCTCACGGTCTGCGCTCTGGTAGAGTATGGCGCTCCATTGGTCGTGTGTAGCAGTCATTAGGAAGAGAAAGAAGTGAAACTGGGTTCTGGACAGAGGAAACGAAAAAGTTTACCTACGGTTGTTGCCGCATTGGGCAATACCTACCCATTCACTTACGGTCCGATGGCCTCGACGTGGTAATCAAGAGTCACACACCACGGTCAGTCTGGACAGCAGACGAAGATGGATCCTTGGATCTGTTACGGAGGTGAGGCTGTCGCGTGACATGCCGGCCGTGGAGCTTTTCCGCGTATCGTCGGTCAAGGGCCATCTTATCCGGAAAGAGATTCAAGATCCTCGGCTTAACGTCATGGCCTGGAGCTGCATCTCAACCACACACGGGCAACGCTTTCTAATCCCCCACAAAACTCTCCACATTCCGACCTTAGTAAACACCTACTCTGGGATTCCACCTGGATCATACAGACATTGACACAGACACGCACCCCATGTCGCGGTAGTCACGAGCCCTGGCATGTCCTCGCCCGCCCTCCGCCATGACGGCTCCCCCATGGACACCCATATCCTGACCCACCATGCGGACAGCCACGCCGACATAAACAGTGCCAGCAGCAGCACAAAGACACCACCGCTATGTTCCACAGACGGTGACACCATCGTGCTCTCGCGGTCAGGGAAAGACGCACGCCCCCATGAAGCCGCGGGGCGAAAAGTCAAAGTCGACAAGAAGAGCTACGAATACCTGATAAAGAGCGGCATTGCAGGTGGAATAGCAGGCTGCGCAGCGAAAACCGTCGTCGGTCCCCTCGACCGCGTCAAAATCCTCTTCCAGACGCAGAACCCGCAATTCGCAAAATACACTGGCTCATGGACCGGCTTCCCCACCGCCGTCCGCGACATCTACCTGCAAGCTGGCGTGCAGGGGCTGTTCAAAGGGCATTCTGCAACGCTGCTTCGAATCTTCCCATACGCGGGTATCAAGTTCCTCGCATATGAGCAAATTCGTGCGCGCGTCATCCAATCCAGAGCACAAGAAACCCCCGGTCGCCGCTTCGTGTCTGGCAGTCTGGCAGGCATGGTGAGCGTATTCTTCACCTATCCACTAGAAGTGATTCGCGTGCGCCTTGCGTTCGAAACACGGGCAGGCGAAAGATCGAACTTGAGCTCTATAGTACGAAAGATATACTCCGAGCACGCCGCACCGACGAGTCACAACCCAACCAATGCACTCACCGCATCCGCAACCCAAGCAGTTGAGACACTCACACCGCAAACAGGCCTGAGTAACTTCTTCCGTGGCTTCACGCCCACACTACTCGGCATGGTTCCTTACGCCGGTGCTTCGTTCCTCGCACACGATACCATGAGCGATATTATGCGCTGGCCGCTTCTCGCGCCTTACACCGTTCTGCCAAACACTGGCCGTGAAGAGACATCCACTACGAGCCAGAAGCCTGCACAGCTGCGCTACTGGGCTGAGCTGAGCACCGGCGGTATTGCAGGATTCGTCTCGCAGACAGTATCATACCCGCTCGAGGTGATAAGGCGACGAATGCAAGTCGGCGGTGTAGTGGGTGACGGGCACCGGCTGAGCATCGCGGAAGTCGCGAAGAGAATATACGTTGAGAGGGGTTGGAGGGGATACTTTGTGGGCTTGACGATAGGATACGTCAAGGTTGTGCCCATGGTTGCGACCAGCTTCTTTGTCTACGAGAGGGGCAAGTACTATCTTGGAATATGAATGGCAACGAGGGAATCTGGTTGGTGTTCCCTACAACGGCGTTCTGGGAGTTGCATGAGGGACACTGAGCAGGATGTGTCCTGCATATACCTGTTAGCTGTCACATAAGTTTGGCCTTGTACAAAGACGGCTGCATCAGCAAGTGCGTTTGGTGGGTCATTGATATCTCTTCTCAATGGAATCAGTCAGAGCCGCCTACTCGTTTCTGCTTCCTACAACGACTCAATGAGCCGCACTCTTCGTCGTGTCTCCAACCGGCCTTACTCCTTTTGCCTCGCTCCTTCCTTGTGGGCTCGTTGGCTATGCGCGTCGTACTTCCCACACCAAGTTTGTGATGCTGACCTCCTCGCTCGCCTTCTCGTCGTAGTCGAACCACTCGCCCTCGTGGAGCTCAATGTTTTCAAACTTTGTGCCTGACTCCTCGCCCGTGGCAAGCCACTCACCCTGTTACATGTCAGTCCCATCCTAACCATTTCCATACACACAGCCACATACATCAGCCTTGAACTCGACAAACTCAAGCCCTCTGCAATCGAACTCGAGGATGTTCTTCGTCTTCGGTGGGTCATTTCGTTCGTATGCAGCCGGCGCGGCCTTGATGTTCGCTGAGTGTTCACGCTGTAGAGACATTAGCATCATGTTAACGCCGAGGAGGACAGTGAGAAAGACCTTACAATTCTTGCACTTCCACACAAAGTTGGCCTCACCCTTGCTACCACTGATTTCATTCTGCTCGAAGCGGCTCACAGACACCCAGTTGGGGTGTGTTTCGCGACAGGATGTGCATTGCACCTTGAATGTGTAGTAAAAGGGCGAATCCTCGGTGTCGAGGGGACGCAGGTCGGTCACGCCGTTCAGCTCGGCTTTGAGGGCTAGTGCGAGCACCATGTTGAGTGTGAGGGTCTGTTGTGGGATTGCAGCTCTGGGAGAGCTGTGAATGGTGCTCGCCGCGGGGGCGGGGCTGGCCAATCGGTGGTTCCAGCAGGAAAACTCCGATGCCTTCGAGAAAGCTGGGCGCGACGATGCGCGACTGTCGAGAGCTTGAGACTGCATTCACGACAATCACATCACAGTCGCAAACATGGCTGTAAGTGCGCGCATGGTATTAGTAACGCTCGCTGCTAACAGTTTCCTAGGCCGTCGCACCCTTTAACCCCCGACCGCTGCTCCAGAGCCTGTACGTTGCAACACTCCAGACGCCCATTGCGGCCACCACACCCATGCGCGCGGCGTCCACACCGTCTACAGTATACTGACCAGCTACAGCGTCGACAAAGACATTGTCGTGCGCCTCAAGTGGGGCGAGACCGAATACAAGGGCAGACTCGTGTCCGTCGACCTCTACATGAACATCCAGCTCTCCAACACCGAAGAATTCGTCAACGGCGTCAGCTCAGGAACACTCGGCCAGGTCTTAATACGATGCAATAACGTGCTTTGGATTGGACAGGCTGATGGAGTCGAGGCGAAGGAGAGCAAGGATACGGCGATGAGCGGTTGAGCCTGGCATCCTGGGTTGAAAACATGATATCAAAAGGATCAGACGAATGGCACTACGAATGAGAAGAGAGGCACGAAACGCAGACTTCTGCGCTTGACGGCGCGACTGCGTGGTTTGGCACAAGACGACTACCTGATACCACACAACATGCGCACACGGCGCAGGTGGAGGACGAGCTTCGAAGGACATTGACATTGATTCGAGCTATATAGAGGTAGCGCTGTGCTATTCGATCTCTTCCACAACCATCCTCCGTTTCCCCTGTCCATCATCTATATCAGGCCTGACATTGAGGCCCCTCAGCCCACCCTCAAGCCCCAGATCCGGTCCCAGCTTCATGCCCTCATCTCTGACCCTGTACAGCGTCTTCATCCGCAATGTCTCCAGCCCGTCCACCACACTCGCCGCATGGTCCCTTACAAGCTCATCCCCATCCTCATCCCTCACCCATCTGAGCACCCTCTCCACCTCATGCTGTTGCTTCATGCCCAAACCCACACTACTATTTTCACCAGCATCTAACGCCTCGTCCAGCGCTCTCAGAAGCCCCATAACAACTAACACTGCCGCTCGTCTCAGCATGAAGAACGCCTCAGCCGTCTCCATCGTCAGTACCAGCAGTGCAGTCTGCAGCCCCGCGTCCACCGTTGCCTGCCCAACAAAACCTAATCGCTTCTCCAGCACCGTGCCAAAGATACTCATCGCGCTCGCACGAATCCTCACATCCTCTTCGATACCTGTGTCTTCCCACCCTTTGACAATTTTACTCAGTGCCTCGTAGTCTGCTTTATCGGCGGCCGAAGCCTCGCCATCGGGCTCGAAGACGTTGGGTATCGGACCGCCCCACGCGGCTTCTGCTTCGTCCTGCTGCTGCGCGATTTGCAGCGATACAGCTTGGCGGTAAGACTGCGTTTTGTGGCGTTGACCGCGCCGCGAAGCCAAGAATAGACAAGCTGAGGTAATGTGCTTGATGCTAGTGTACGCCACTCCTGTGTTACTCTTGTCGTGCCAGAAGTCGTCGGCAAGGACAACGTTGTTGAGGACCTCGCCAACGCGCAGGCGGTAGTCTAGCGCTTCTTGTAATTCCCGCTCTTTCTCGTCTGTCATTCGACCCTTCGAGGGCTTGAGACTGCGTTCATCCACATCGAGAAATGCATCCACGAGGACATTGTTGGTTGGGTGTGGTGCGCGGAGAGCGAGAGTGACCAGGACGGGGATCGCGGCGCTATGAACGTAGGATTCTGGGTCTGCGAGAGAGGCGGAAAGGATGAGGTGGGTTGTTCTCGGGACGTCGATGACTGGAAAAGAGGAGGGCTCTCTGATCAGTGTGTGAAGGGTTGAAAGTGACCATGTGCGATTTGGGGCCTCAGGAGAGGTGAGGTCCTGGAGTGCTGCTTGGAGTGTGGTTCGATGGGAGGCGAGAGGATCGACATTAACTTTGGTCGGGTCTGAGATAAGTGGTGAAGGGCTGAGAACTTGCAGGAGGCTACGCGCGGAGTTGGCGATGACTTGCGAGAAGGGGGCCTGGTCCTGAACGTGTATCAGGTACTGCAAGTGCCCAGTAATTTGCGAAAGTAGAGCCTGATTTGCGGGTGTTCGTTTGAATTTGGGTGTCGCTACCACTGTGTTGAGGATGCTGATAGCGAAGGCGACAAGATCATCTTCTGATGTATCGCCTTCATTACTTTTGTTCCCAGTCGCTGATTTGAGCGCCACTATGCTCCCTAAGTTTGCCCTGCTTGGTTTCTGTGACTTTACCTGTCGTTCTGATCTTGCTTGGTGATTAGCAACATAATTCTGAAGCAGCTGACCCATAAGTTCGATGATGTGTTGTGGTGATCTTGCGAAACTGTCTCTGAACCTGGAAGCTAATGCTTCCGAGAGCTTTGCATCTGTCAATGCCGTGAGTGGATCATCATCAGATTCAAGGAGCAGTGTCGCTTTCGAATTCCGATTGGGACTAAGCCAACGCTTTGTGACTTGAAGGAAGATGAGGCCTACGACGTCGTCCGAAACCTTAGCATCTGCAAGCAGAGAGACAAGGAGGTCAATCCGTCCGGTAAGGTCATTGATACGTGAGAGGATGGATTCCATCCCTTGAACACCACTAGGGCCTTCGTTCCGTCGCATTCGAGTCTCAATGCCACCTTTGGTGCCTGGACCAAAAGTCCAGTCAGAGGGCCCATCCCAGAATAGGTTGGTCGCAATAGTATCTACTTGCTTCGGATCGCAAGCGATAGTAATGTATCTTGCGATAATGTTGCGCGGTAGATCGATCCATAATTTGTCGAGCGACCGCTTCGACCGAGCATAGTTGAGCAGAGCCCAAAGGGGAAGGAGTATGGGTCCGGTGAGTCTTTTGATGAGTCCTGCATGTGAATACGATGTCGTAATGACAGCTAGTCGTTGCAGAGCAAGGAGCAGGTCTTGATCTTGTACAAGGACTCGATCTTTGGTGCTGTTTCGTAGCACTGCTGTTGCAGTGTCTTTGGGATAGACAGTTTCCAGGATCGGCTGAGCAAATATTTTCCATCCTGTCGTGCCAGGCGCACCTGTAGTTCTCTTGCTGAGAATACCTCCTGCAATAATCTGCCCTGCGGCTCTGCTCAATTCTCTAACTTCGTTCCCATCTAGCAGACTCCACAGCTGGGGTTCCAATTTCTGAATCCAAGCGTCTTGACTTATCCCGCTTGGAGGTGATGTCAACAATTTTGATGCTTGTGTTACGGCTTCTAAAGGGATTGGAATCCGCGACTGTGGCCCAGATGCGTCTCGTGGGACCTGCGAGTTCTTGGACAGATAGGAGAGTGAGAGGAACTCGATGACATGCCGGACTCCATGAGCACGGATGGGCACTGTGGCAAGCTCTTTTCCCATCCGAGGCTTCAACCATGCTGGGAGCGGCTGCTGGAGGAACGTGGTAAGTATTGGTAGCAGGCGAGACGTAGGAGTCCGAGTGAGCAGATCGTTATAAGCGGGCTCAAATGTGGAATGGACTTGTTGAGTATGCTGAGGCGAGAATGCAAGTTCTGCGAGCGCAGAGATGATGTCAGGTAGAGACCGTTGAGCAAGGAGAGGCTGTAGACCCGTGCCCTCTTTTTGTGCTAAGATGGAAAGCAGCGGAGGAACAGTTTCCGACAACAGCTCTTTGTGTTGACGCGGGGAGACAGTGAAAGTTGCTATTAGAACAGATCGTGGGCGTTGGCTGAATGCAACACCGGAAGATAGATATGGAAGAATGCCAAGTGATGCAGTGAGATCTAACAGCCCATACACAACACCGGCAAGAGATGCATCGTAGGGAGCGTCCGGGTCTGCAGCCAGATCTGCGGTGTTGATAGCCTGCAGGTGTTCTATGGCTTCTCGCACCAGCCTGGCGTTGTCGAGGTCTCCTTCACCACTGGGTTGAGCAGCATGCTTTGCACCCGCGTCTACAAAGGGGCCCACAAAGCTTGCAGCGGCATCCACTGCTTGTTCGACAACTCCCATGGCGTCAAAGTTGATATTGAGGTATTGGTCGACGCTGGGTTTGGCAGCAAAGGAACATGTCTTGCTTAGTCAATGGCCCACGTGATCGCTTACTAGCGTTGTCGCGTCCCCAACCTTGGAAGGCGCGTCGGCCGTTGTTGCCCTTCAACACAACACTACCCCAACTACCAATCGCCACATAACGCTTCGTATTCATTCTGTGCTCAGTTCGCTCCACTCGCATCCAGGGCTTCACCAGACCATGGACAACTTCACCTGAAAATGCCCTCAACGGTGGGAACTTCGCGCAAGTCTTCATGAGCACCATATCTTCTCTCGCTTTCTACAAGCTCGACTGCATATCACTCTCCCTACAGCTACCGATGTCTGTCTTCCACGTGGAATGCGGTTCGCTGCGCCTCACACGTTGTGTACGCCCGACACTCGCCAGAGGCTCCTAACCCGGCTTCGAGGCATGTTGGACCGTACTTGCGTATGAGGAGGGCAGGCTCGGATCTTAACCCTAATCATCTTCTGGTATTCGCTGCGCCTTGCGCGGTGAAAAGCTTTGCGGTCATGTCGCCGACCTTCCGATCAGCCTTAGTCGCCTGGCATCTCACCCCAGTGGTTGCCCTGAGACTACGCGCCAAAGGGAGGCTCGAGGTACGGGAGCTTTGGCTCAAATTGGTGTGTCATGTGCCTGTTGGGGCGTTAAAGTTCTCCTCGAGAACCACGTCGACACTCTCATCCGTGCAACAGACTCTGGTCAAGATGGATAACTCTGAGGCTGCTTCGGTCACGTAGGTTGGAGTACTCTGGTGGAAAATGTCGGGCACCTCATATGAGGATCGCCTTTGGGATCCGAAAGATGTCCAAGCCTCAATCTCACTCTTTGCCGGTTCTCACAGAGGAGCTGCCATACCGAGTACCAGCATCAAAGATATGTTCCTACGACCTCTCGAAGCAACTCAACTGCGTAGGCAGAGCACGGACGTTTGGAGTAAGCCTGACACACAAGCATGTCAACCTGTTTGGCCCCGGCCGCCGCAAGATCCACTCGTCGGAAAGGCGTAAGCCCAGCGAGGTCTTAATGCGTTTCAGGTTGGCGTCGTCTCTCTATGGCAGTCCGTCACGCTCCGGAGCCGGTGCCTTGAACTTGCTCGAGTACGTACGACGGTCATTGTCTTCGTTGGACACAGTCAGCAGTGCTACTATTCTGCGACAACCACATTGAATGAAGATGTGGCTTCGACGTTGCTTCCCGTGCATCTCTCCAACAAGGACGTGAGTCCTAACCAGATTGCCAACCATCCACGCTGTCTGAAAGCTGTTGAGTCTGTGCCACGGTTTTGCAACCCGGCGCCTGTCACTTAAACGTGTTATTCGACCAGTCGCGTCAATCGTCAAATCGTATGTTCAGCGTACGTTGTTAGACGAGCGTCTACCCTTTTCTTCAAACGAGCCATACTTGTTGTGAGGCTCATTGCGGTTTTTGAGGATGTTTTTTGTCCGCATACCATCGCCCTACGGCTCAACACAGACCGGAGAGCAATCAAAAACTTGTCTCTGAGAGTCATGCCAACACATACGGAGAGAAGCTCTTGAGGACTTCAACCCAAGATGGCGGTGCCCAAGGAGAACCTTGCGCGAGGCTTCTGCAGTCCGGGCTAGGGGCTGCTCACGTGGTCAGAGTCATGGTATGAAGTGGAGTGCAACGGTGCTTAACGAGATAATGAAGTGGCTTCTTTTCAAGCGCCGCTGTTTGCGCGAAACTTCGTCTGAGTGGCTTCGATCAAACCTCTGGAAAATGGCCGCTATTTGGAAGCACCAAGCATATAAGGCGATCTCAATCGAGGACACCATCGGCTGTGACATGGCGAGTTATGACCGTGTGCGTATTGCGTTCCACAAGACTTTGAAAGTGGGACCTCTCGAGAGTGAGGCTCAAGGCCTAGGCCTGTCCACGATCATGATCTGCAGCATTTGGCCTGTCTCTCTATGTTTCATGCAGTTGTGAACTCGATGGTTACAAAGACGGTCTTATGCGAAGTGCTTCTGGTCGGATTTTGGGGGCTTGCTCGATGCAAATTCAGGCCTAGTCATTCTTGTGAACAGTGGCGTGAAAGAGGGTGCTCGTGGTGAGAGGTTGTCTGGGTGGTTCTGATAGCCGTTCCACTGGAACGGCACACTTTTTATAAGTCCTCTCCTCACTTGAACATTGTGCTACGCTAATTGCTGCAGTCGATAGCCGTCATTCGCGACAGAACAAGGGGTTTCACATTTCGCTTGATGCTCTAGTGTAAGTGAGTGCGTACTGGAATTCTTCGCACACTCCATCCTGTTACAGATCCTCTGGTGGCTGTGTAATCTTTGTCAAGTGGTCCCCGTTGAGCTCCTTCATGATCTTGCCAAGACCCTCATGGCTGTAATCTTTCTCGTTCCACATGTCCTTGTGGTATCTGACCTTCCCGTTTTGATCGAGAGTGAGTGTGACCAAGCTGTTCACCTTCTTGGCGATCGGCATTGGCTTTGGGGTGTATTCCTGTTGAAGCTTGAAGATGATCTCGTCTGGCTTCGAAGATACAACTTGTGTCTTGATAGTCCTTGTCGATTTCATGATCTTGGGAATGCCTGAGATCGCATGTCAGCAATCTCGAAGTTTCATGAAGACCTCCGCGATAGTTTAAGACAACCACCTACCGTACCACTGGCCGGCAATTTTATATCGTGTATCGCAGTAACTCCATGGATCATCGTAGATTGCTTCCTCGGCGTAGACCATCATGTCTTCTTTGCTCGCGCTACCCGAGTACAAATTACATATCGCCTGCACGATCTGCTCTCTTTCTGGTTCAAGCTGGATGGACTTCTCCGGATAAGGTTCGTAGTCCACGCCTGAGGATGAGTCCTTTGAGGGATCTGGGTTCTGAGTAAGAGCTACTGGGTCGGGGCGCTTCTCAAACTCGTTCTCCAACGCTGAAGCGCGCGTGTCCTTTCCGGATTTGCCTGTGGCCGGGACTGACATTTCGAACATTAGACTTAGGCGGATGTAAGGGATTTGGCTGGAAATCTGCTTGCAAAACGTTGAGGTTCAGCTTTATTGTGTTGTTCGAGTAGACGTTGTAATTGTAGTCATGACGTCAAGGTTAACCAATAAATCGATTCGTCCTACAACCAGGACAACCTCAAGGGCCGTGTTGAGGCTACAACAGTGTACCTACCTCTCAGTACCAAAAGGTACGAATACGCCCAGCTTCTTAGCGTCGCAACCTCTGGTCTGCATACACCTTCTGTGATCTACCACCGGCTCGTGAACGATGGGCATAGCGTTACCGTGTCCGTGCGCGTAATGCGCGAATTCGCGTAATGCGCCAAAATCCTCACCAAAACAGCCTATTTCTAGTACTCTTTGAGATAGTCCAGCTCTTTAGCTAGAAGAGATTAAAAAAACTCTAATACTAAGCTATTGCTGACTACGTTGATCATTGTGCGTTTGAGAAGAAAGCAGAGACCTGGCAGGATATACAGATTGAGGCAGGGGTAGTTACAAAGCACAACAAGGAAGCATATTCAAGGGTTACTATCTGGCGCCGTGTGAATGAGATTGCTCCTATCACTGAGCACATAGCAGCGCAAGAGGAGCACCTGCTAGAGCGTCAAATAGAGCGTCAGAAGTGGTCTGGTGAGCAACTACAGGCTTGGCCAAGGGGTAAACACTAGAAGGATGTGTTATGGTGTGATGAATTGCACTGGAAAACTGGCCCCCGGCATAAACGCAAGATCAAGAGGAGGAAAGGCAAGGATTAAAGAAACAAAACACAAAATGTGCAGTACAACAAGCACCATAAACAAGACACAGAGGAAGAGAAGAAGGAGAAGAAGTTCCACTTGTTCTGCATACTAGGGTATGACTTTGCATGGTGTATGCCCTACAAAACCTCTCACTCCAATGGCAAGATGACAAGCAAAGTGTTCACAGAAAAGATCCTTCCTGCTCTCCAAAGTGAGCTTCTTCACCGTGGTGGAGAGTGGTGCTTGTACCTGGATAAGGACTCATCACACACCTGCAAAAAGACACTCAATTATATGCATTTACATGGCTGAGAGTATATAACTGGATGCTCAAAGAGTCCAGACTTAAGTATCATGGAAACCTGGGTCTCCCCATCAAAGGAAAAGTTTTATAGGCGTACATGTTGCTCAAAAAGTGAAGGGATGGCACGCTTCTATCAAGTATGGGCAAGTTTAGACCCACACAACATCAACAAAACCATCAAAAAATATCCTGGGTGCCTGATTGAATGCCGGGATGTTACAGAAGGTCACACAACTAAGATTTAGCTATAAATACTATATAGCTGTGCTGTAATTCTACTCTATTCATAGTGTTGATACCAAAGTTTGCATGGCAGATTTTTGTGGGTGGCCCGGGCTTATCACCAGTTTTCTATGAAACATGAGAGGCGGGGTAGATTCCCCGTGGTCAGTATGATCAGCTTGACAAAATTTCGAACCTCCAGCTGATACAGAGTTGACTGTCAACAAAGCAACGCTTCGACTAAACAAGGTTTGCCACGTGCTGAACCTGAACCCAGTAGCACTCAGGTATTGATTATGCTAGATTTTGACGATTGTCCGCATCGCTACCTCTGTCTTGTCAGAATTAATGCGTGCAGTGTGATTGTTCTCATGCTAATCTGCACGCAAGAAACACAAGACATGGGTGCGACCCGCCTTAGAAAACACATTGTTTCTGCATCTCTGCATCGAGTTACTCCCTCCGGAGGCTTCAACCGTGCCGCAATATTCGCAAGTCACGCAAGTTGTAAGTCTAAGTGCACGAGGCAGAGCGCATCATTCGCTGCAGAGAAGGGCTGGTTTCGGGGTCCAGCACTCAGGTCTTGGAGTGTGCATTGCGGGGTGCAGTGTCTGGGCACGTACTTCTCGTGGATCTTGGAGGTTCTTACAAGAGACGTCGCTTCGAGCAAACAGCAACGCCATGCCGTCTCCAGCATATTTCCCCAAGAGAGCGCACACGACTCAGCCCGAATCAAGGCCACCGCCGACAACGTCGTACAGGTGCACAGCGCGACGCTCACCGGTGATTCCAAGCGATAGCCAGCTTGGGCAGCTGCGACATAGCCAGACTTTATCAAGCGGCGCCACAATGCTCCCACCTCGTGTTCAACAGTTCAGAAACAAGATCCGTGGAGCATCCCTGGACTCCCATCGATGTGTTGGTGGCAGAGTCCAGTCGCGCCCCTACAGCATGCAACATCGCAGCGCCGTCCGCGGGCGGAGGAGGTCCACTTCAGCGATTTAAAGACCCCTGATGATCTCCTGAAAAGCACGTGCTTGGTTACCATTTCACGTCTTAGTGCGTCTGGAACTGCGCTTGTCATCACCCTGAATAATAGCGCAACAGACAAGGCTGACCCAGCCGCCTTATTTAGAGGTAGCTAATCTAATATTGGCAAGGCTCAGCCGTCCCTAGACACCTATCAACTTCCTTCCCGAGGTTGTGGGGAGCTTCTACGGAGACGCCGCCGTCACTTCCACTCTGGGCTCAATCCGCATCCTGTTGTTTGAAAGGTTGTCGCTATGGTAGCTGAGCAGCACGCTAAGCAGAGCACGTTTTCGCAGCGGGATGAAGTGGTCTTTGCGGCGAAGGAATTTTCCCGGTCCTGCTATATGTGTGCACGCGACACCCGCGCGCGACATTACTCAGATGGCGCCCCGTATTACTGAGGCTGTGATGTCTCGCAGCAGAATGATCGGTGTTGGTGGCCTCAGATCTTGATTTTCGCGAGCGTTCCTTTTCCTTTCCACCCTGCCCTGGCTTCCTTCGCGCATTCTCGACTCACGATCTCACGGCCGCTGTCTGTTCCAATGCGATGCAGGTCAACTTCCTGGCGCCTTTTCAGGCAATCCTGAGGCCCAAGAACCAATTTGCTTTGTTCTTTGTCAGCTACTTTACCGCAAAGCTACTGCATCTCGGAAGTCACGCAGGATCATTGCCAATTCTTCTCTATCTTCTCTACTTTCCTACATTTCTGCTGCCAGACGTTCTCCTGCTTGTCAGCAGCAAGATCCTTGTTTATAAATACAATGGCGGTCAAGCATCTACCGTCAGGAGATCGATCGGAGCCTTTCTTGCGTAGGTTTCGATGCCGTTTGGACCTCTGTTGTACAATCGCTAATATGTGTGGTCACAGTCTTTTCACGGCAGGTTGTTCCGCCGCACAAATATCCTTCTTCGTCGAAACAGGCGGCGAAATACAATGGATGGCAGCCAGTAGAGTCCTTGGGGGCAGCGGAGGCCTTGGCCTACTACTATCCGGCTTGCCTGCGTTAATCGTTGCGTTTGCAATTTTGTATAGCACTGCATGGATTATCGCGCTAAGATTCTACGATACTGTCGAACATGTGCTGGATAACATCGGCTGCTCATTTCGACAGAGCTATCAACTTACAAAAAAAGCGCCGAAGAAAACAGAAGCCGAAGAATTGCTCATCCCTCTCGAGGAACAGCCTTCATCGCTCGGCACCCGTGAGCAGCGCGTTCCCAGCCGCGATCCTGTCCTTGGAGCTCTCAACACACCTAAAGCCATAGCTGTTACTTTTACGACTCTGACTTGCAGCATTGTAGTTCTGTTTCTACAACTTGTCCGACCAAGAACACCACCATACGCCCATATGTCTGGGTCACTTCCAGTGACACTCATTGAGGCAGCTTTGTTCCAACCTATAAATTCCGAGTTTTGCTTGGCTCACCCTGTTGAGCGCGTATTATTTCCTTGGGACCGATTCACGGAGTACTTTGGTCAACCTGAATCGTTGGATTGGATGCCTCGTTCGCCGACATGTAGCAGAGCAAACGGACCAGGACCTCCACCATGGCTCAAGCATCCAAGTTGTGATGCTCCCAATAGCTGCGCGCCGCCTGGGCCTCCCCCTCATGGGCATCATTCACCTCCACCTCCACCTCCACCTCGGCATGAATATCACGGCTCTCCTCCTCCATTGCGTAATCACCCGCCTCGTGGTGGGTCCCCTCCACCTCCCTCCCGGCTATATTCAGACAATACACAAAACGAATTTCGACCTGATGGACCTCCGAGACATCACCGACATGGGTTTGGACCTGGATACGAGCCTCTTTGCGACCCTCTGAAGCTGTCCAACCTCGATGCTGACGTTTTCGATGCTCTAGCGGATGGCATAAAAATCAAAAAGCCCAAAATCAAGAACGTGATGCTGCTCACGCTCGAGAGTACGCGTAAAGATATGTTTCCGCTGAAGAAGAACAGCCATGCTTACAAGACAATTATGTCATCCTATGTATCTTCCAACGCAAGCGCGAAGCTCGACACAAAACTTAGGAATCTCACCAACGTTGCCACGTTTTTGTCGGGGGAATCCGACGGCTTTGGAACAGAAGACAATGCTGTGGCTGATGGTTCATGGAGACATGCATTCAAGGATGGTATGGGTGGTATAAATGTTCAAGGAGCTATCACACAAGCAGCATACACCCTGAAGAGTCTTCTTAGCAGTCACTGTGGTGTAGAACCGTTGCCAGTGGACTTTACCGAGGAGACCAAAGGTCAGATTTATCAGTCTTGCTTGCCGCAGGTCCTACAGGCGATGAGCTCCCATGTGCGTAAAGAGCACCCGGAAGAACTACGGAGAAGTGACGAAAGTCATGCAGACAACCATCGAACGTGGCCTTGGGAGTCTGCTATGGTCCAATCGGTCACAGATCAGTTTGACTCGCAAGACGTGTTGGACGAACAAATGGGGTTTAGGAACGTCATTGCGGAACGCGTGCTTTCGGACCCGACATCGAGACACTACCCTCCGAAGCGGCCATGGGTGAACTACTTCGGCTACCCTGAAACAGAAAGTCTCGACTACCTGCGCGACATGTTCATTGATGCCCGACAACAGCGAAAGCGACTCTTCGTCTCCCACCTCACGAGCTCTCCGCACCACCCATTCGCAACGCCTAAGGATTGGGCCGGACACACCGAATACTTAAGCAAACAGCGATGGCGTCCTGAAGATCCCTTAGATGGGTATTTGAATACTATCAAGTACCAGGACGATTGGGTATCGGACATCTTCCAGATGCTACACGACGTTGGCGCGCTCAACGAAACGCTCATCATCATGACAGGAGACCACGGCCTCGCATTCAACTCCCTGGATAAGTCACAATCTGCTGTGAACAACGGCCACATTTCAAACTTCGCAATCCCGCTTCTCTTTGTCCACCCGGACCTACCAAAGATTCAGTTGAAGGCTTCGACGACCCCTTTATCTGTCATACCAACCGTTCTCGACCTCCTCCTGCAGACCGACTCTCTCCCGGAACTGGCTGCTGAGACGGCCAAAACATTACTGCCAAAGTATCAAGGCAACTCGTTAATCCGCCATCTGAACTACAGCGTCCTGACTGCAGATGGCGGTGTTGGGAAGGCTTTCTTCCAGCCGTTCCACTTTTCCGCAATCAACCCGGGCGGATCTCTCCTGGCAATCAGCGAAGCCTCCACATCGTTTCGACTGGTGTTCCCTCTTTGCTCTAGCATTCCCTTGCGCTTCACCGATATTGCGACAGATCCCACTGAGGCGAATCCGACAATAGCGTGGACCATGGACGAGCTGGTGTCGATTATCAAAGTCAAGCATGGTGTAAAGGCGAAAGAGTGGGTGAAGTTGGCCCAAGAGCTCGGGCGTTGGTGGTTCTGGGATCAGCACGGAAAATGGGGCTATTGGGGCAATGCGCGAAGCACTGGCAGAGGCGGTGGGGAAGTTGCAGGGTCAGGACGCGTAAAGAAGAAGCATTGGTGGGAAACAAGAAGAATATAACGAACGCGCAAGCAAATGGTATTATGAACTCCGTCATAGCTACCGGCTCTGAAATATTATATATCAACTTAACAAACAGCAGATGAAATTGCTGATTTCTTTATACTCAAGGTTTTATTGCACTTACTAATTCCATGCACAGCTTGTTCTTTGCTTCCATAAATACAACAAGACATGCGTGTTCCAGGTTGGCAAAGCGAATCATTCATTCTGCAACTGAGGAAACAAGCAGACCCCACAACACCTCCCGTTAATGTCACGAAGATGCTACAAGTAGGCCCTTTAGGACTTGCTAGGAGTCTAAATCAATTACTACGTACGGTATCTAAGTAGGTACAAGACGTTGTGTACCGAACAGAACTCTACCAGCAACAGTCTATATACTTACGTGTGGGTTTGTTTGGTTACCGGTTAATAATCGGAACTGATTTGGATAGGTATCAGGGTTGCAAGTCCTAGAGCAGGGCTTGCAGAATTCTGATACTCCCGCTTCGGAGGTTACAGGCCTGCTCCGGAGGTGACCGGAGGTTGTACGTCCGCTTCGGAGGTGTGTAATTGATTGATTGATTGATTGATTGGTTTAACGTCCTATCTGAGTCTAAGACTATGGAAGACGAGAGGAGCAGTAGCTCCTCTGGAAATGCAAAAATTTAGTTACATGAGAGTGAGGTCAATGCAGGTACAAGGGATGGTGAGGGCTCAGGCCCAGAGCAAAGATGCTGAAAACAAAAGAAGTACAAAACAAATAAACAAAGGAAATGGAAGCTGGTGTAGCATGCCTATGCCAGGTCTTCTGAAGACTGCCCAAGATGCCACCTCCTTGTGCCCACCTTGGTGCTGCTGATGAAGTCCAAGGTGGCAATTCAAAACTCAATCCACTCCTTCAATTCCAACAACACCAACTTCTGGTCGACATCTCTATTGTTCCCCAGGCCTCCTGGCATCCCAAATCCATCAGAATCCATCTCAGCACACTCCCAAGAGCCATTCCCTCCATTTTCAGACCCTCCAGCCTTCTGGTTGTGGAGTGCAGCCCAGGTGCAGTCCTGCTAGCTGTTCTGCCCCTCAATTGCAGAATTTTCCGG